ACCAGTAAACTCGGTACGTTGTACAGGAGGTTTTGAGTGTACCTCGCCATTGTTTGTATAGTACTTAGTAATGGATTTTGGATGTGTTAAATTCGAATTCGATGAAAAATTGAAGTACCTTTACGAAAAACGCTTCTGAGCGACGATAACGCTTTTATAAGCTTCTGTTTCTGAATATAGTTTATATTTTATTTATATTATAATTATTGTCCTAATGCAGTCGAGTGAATTAGGTTGCATTCCAATATAAAAAAAAATATAATAAATATATAACTTATAAGTTATAAGTCATTACCGCGATGCACGGATGTACCATAGAATGGTGTAAATTGGTTTATCTTGCAAGAATATAGTTTAAAATTAGTCAACAAGTTTTATAATTTAATTATGTATAATAGTTATAAATACTTTAATTAACAGTAAAATATTAGGTAGTCTTTACGTTTTGTATTTTTGAAATCAACAATTAAACTAAAATCGTATTTTTTCAGTTAAATATCCAGTTTTGACAAAATTTAAACTTCAAATGCTTTTACAAAAAATGCCATTACATAATATTATCACAAGCACACATCAATGTAAAATAACCTAACTAACCTATACATTCCACGATTCGTCAATAAGAATCTAAAACAATAAAACGTATTTATATGAAACAAATAAAAGATTCTATCGTCAGGTTTTACGTAGGTACTTTGATATACCTTGTAGAGTTGTTGCTGTGCTCGGTGTACTATATATGTAACGGTTTCACTCTGTGGACAGTTTACCCGAATCACCTACAATGATCAAGTCATAAAAAAATTCCAGATGCCAGAGGACATTAGTGGTACATAACACGATATTATATTGAAAACGAATCAGCACTTTGCACTCCGATAATCTCGACGACGGCGGCGACAACTAAGAAGGAGCAGCTAGGTGACGCACATAATATGATATTATTATGTATACCTACCTATATATTTTATTATTTTATATACATAATATAATGTTTAGCAATTAGTTTCACGGATCTGCCGAGCAAATGCAATTACCACCCAGCCACACGGCAGCAGCGCATTTATATTTTATATATTATATTATTACGACGGCGACTACGACGACGACGACGATGATGATGATATTAAATGAGCGCAGTGATTTAAATGTTTAATGTATTCGATCGCCTATCTAAACGGGAATCGTTCGTAGCCGTACACGTTCGATATAATAATAATAATAATAATAATAATAATATATTATAAATGCTGTACATAATATTATTTGCGATATTTTATAAAATATAATATATAATTTATGTACGGTTATTGGCGACGCGCTCGCGTAAACCTTTTTGCTCCAAACTGCGGCTCGTTACCGCCTCTTAGCTATACGATGTACTTATTACCTGAACCTACCGGCTTGTACCTATATAATAATATGTACCTATATAGGTACATAATACTATTATCGCGAAACGCATTAGTCGACGTGTGTCGTTTCGTCGCTTTATGGTCTATAAAATATTAAAACGAGTGGACGGCGGACACTTATTACTATATACGGTTATATTATACATTGCGTTTCGTCTAGTATATTATATTATATATACATAAAATATATTATATTATATATAATTCCACTACGATATGTCCGTAATTTTTTTTATAATTCACTTCATCTGCCGCCGATATCCTCAATAAAATACCGTTTTCGTTTACCACCGTGTAGTGATCGCCGTGCAGGACACTGCTGCAGCACTCGCTCACATATTATATAGGTAATTATTTAAACAACATATCGCGTTCCTTACGACCTTTAGAATGATAGGTATTTTATAATAAACACAACACCGGTTATTACTTTATAGAATCTAATTATTACTTTTATTCAATACAAAATAGCTATACATTATATGCCATACAGTATACATATATATGCCCCAGAGCTGGCTATAACTGGGAATAATAAATAATTATTATTTGCGGCTGTGACAAAGTCCGCCAAGAGCATTAGTCTCACATCAGTATAGGTATGTAGCCAGTCTAGAACTGTAACTATAGCTCCTGAAAAATGCAAAGTGCTCTAGTCGTATTTATTCAAGTCCTAACAGACTGCTAGGATAGCAGAGACGTATCATTATGGCGTGATGTGAATATGGCCTATTATTCTAATATTAAGTAAAGTTCCGCTCATAGATATAATTATACCTATTAAATATAGATCATATTTGCACCCATGATAGGTGGAAACTAAAATATGTTCAACCTTTGATAAATTTTTAATTAAGTATATTTTAACTGTATTTTGGGTCAGAATGACAGTATATAATATTATATTATTATACATTATTTGTAAACTGAAATTAAATACCGGCGTATTGGAGTTTACGTTATATATGTATATATATATATATAAAATATATATATATATATATGTGTGTGTGTGTGCCAACTTACTGTCAACATTATTACCTAAGTCTTAAATACTAATCGAAAAAATATAAAATAAACATTTCTTCCCGTTCAGTAGAGATCAGAGATTGAAACCCATTTGTAAATAGACTGATTAATATATAATTTTCTTTACCACCACTATGTACACAAATTCGACCAATCAATCTGTGTGTTTTATTTTGTTCGAAATAATCAAACAAAAATTTGATCTAACGGTTTATTAAAAATACTTAGATACGATTTTCTTTTTGGATATTCGTTGTAAAATTCCATCACGAGTAGTAAGAATTTAAAAGTCGCTCGACGGAGGAATTTCATTTATTTGTAGGTATACCTTACGACGACTTACAGCACAAACAAATTCTTTGTCTTATGAACTTACCTATGGCGTTCAACTGTTACTCCAATACCCAACCTAACAATACGAAAACCAGTCAACTAGAGACCGCACTGAAAAAGCAAAACAGTTGTTAGTACTATAAAAATAGTAGGATTGACTGTACATTATAATTGCTATAGTTATAGATATAAGGTTAGTCAGATTTACTAAAATATCATAGTCAAGTTATTATAGTGTTTCGAACTGAAATCTTGTATTTTAACTATATTTTTTAGTTAATTCAAACATTAAAAACTCCATTTAACTATAAAATATAGTAAACATTACCATAACAAATAAGTAATAACTATATTTATATATTCCATAGTCAGTAAATAATTTTAGTTATTTTACCTATTAAATAGTTATATCTACTATAATTTGTTTAACTATAATATTAAAGTAATTTTTTTTCCGTGCGTCATTACACGAGTCGGTCCCCTCATCGATTGGTGTGATGTTCGACAAGTTCACGACCATCATCCTACTTAACAGTGTACCTAACAATCGCGGATGTCTGATTGACGAAACGCTATCGTTGCATTTGCTGGCAACGGTAATAATAATAAACTATAGAAAGCATTAGATATTACTGCAATGATAATCATATTATAAATAAATTTAATTTACGTGTATTATAATAAGTTCACAGTCAACGGTAAACGCGAGAGTCCGTAGAAAATAATAATAAATTCGTAGGTACAATACGTTTTACTGTGGTTCGTTTTTTTTTTTCATAGGACGCTCCAAAAACTATAGCGCACGGACAGACAGAATAACCTTTTTTTCCCGTTTTAATTTCATAAACGTCGACCGAATATTATTATAATGTTATTACAACAACGCCGCACGAGGTGTCGTTTTTTAAAACACGGGAAATCGTTTCCGAGACCTTTTCCCCGTCGTTCGCCGCACTGCGCAGAGGAGATAGCCATACATATAATATATATATATATATATTGTATGCACATTGCTTATAATATACTACGGGTACTTTGTGGCCGGGTTTATTTTTACGTGATTGCGTGCCCGTCAGGATTTTTTTGTATTTAAGACTTATCGCGCAGCGCACGGTAAAAATTAACGAATCGTGCGGTTTTCGGTTTTGTCGAGAAAAACGTTTTTGAGCACGTTCCTCCCGCAGTGCACGCGCGCATATGCCGTATATAATATATTAAATCATTATTTTATTGTAATGTGTGTTTTTTTTTTAAAAAGAAATAAAAATGCTTTTGCAAGAATGTCCTCGTGTGCTATGGTAAGTTACCGTTCTCCTATAAGTAGTATACATAGTATATATTTCCACTATACCTGCACACTATTATTATAGGTACATAAAAATTATAATATATACGATAGTTTGAAATCGCCGTTGCCTTCTCTACAGATATTTCAAAATGTACAGTAAATACTAAAGCGAAAATCGGAAAGCAGATGAGTCCGATCTGAAATGGCGGTACATTGAGTGTTTTTGAGTATTATACACCGATCAGACGCGTACTGCAGGTCGTGTGCGGGGTTGTCTGTAATCGTTTTCGACATATATGTAAAAGAAATATATTTTCAACGTGGGTAATAATAATATAATATTTTGCTTTATCCAGTGTACGTAGGTACTCGACTGTACGTCGACCGGTTATTCTGGGTCGGGATCGATTAATTCGTCCATAAAACATACTTTAGACAAGCGTTTTATATTTATTTTGGGAGTATGACCTGTAAGTAAAATACTAGCAGGAACACTGGAGAATTAAATATGCGAATATAGTGCGAAGTAAAATATAATAATCACCGCATATATTATAGTATTAATCATAATTTTCGATTTAATAATTAAAAAGTAATACAAAAATATTTAATATTTCAACCATCAGATGTTGTTGTATATGTTGTACACACTGCACTATTATTATTATTATTATTATAAAACTAAGGTTATGTTTTCGTTATGTGATTGTGTGAGTGTATACCATGACACATTAGTTCTTCATTAAGTTTTATTATGTTATATAAATTACATGAAGTGTAAAATAAAGTTATTGTACAAATAATGAATTGTGAATTGTTTCTTATTGTAAAATGAATGTACAAATAAATAAATAAAACATGGCGCAGTCGTTTATATTTTGATATAATGTTATAAAGTAACCTATTCGCCGGATTGAAACGAATAAAAAGGCATCATGGAATTTAACCGACCTGCAAATTTAAAACTGACTGGTAATTTAAATGACAACTTTAAAATATTTAAACAAGAAGTTGAAGTTTATTTTATGGCTACTGAGACAAACAGTAAGAGTCAGGAGGTTCAAGTGGCAAGATTACTCAATTTATTAGGACCAGATGGCTTAAAGTTGTACAACACATTTAAGATTGATGTTGTGACTGTAGACAATATTTTCAAGTCGTTAGAAGAATATTGTGTCCCAAGGAAAAATGAAGTGATGGAGCACTACAAATATTTTACTCGAAAACAGGCAGAAGGTGAACCATTTGATAAATTCTACGCAGATTTGCGTGAATTAATTAAATCATGTTCGTTTGGTGAATCAGAAGAAGCACTATTGCGTACACAAGTAGTTCTGGGAATAAACGATAAAGATTTGCAGTCTAAACTATTACGTGAAGACTTACCGTTGTTAAAAGTCATTAAATATTGCCAAGTGGTAGAACAAGCGGAAGCAAATTGTCGACTAGTACAAAAAGAAAATTTAACTGTGGATCAAGTGGAGAAAAGCAAAAACTGGCGTTTCAAATCTAAGGAGGCAAGTAAATCAAATCATCAACAAAATGCAACAAAGAAATATGAAAAGGGAAATTACAGCGAATCAAATCAAGGCAAGTCTAACAGTGCTGATTACAAAGATCAAGGTGTGGGTAAGAATAACCAAAAAATATTTAATTGTTTTAAATGTGGTAATCAACATGCTATAAACAAATGTCCTGCATTTGGAAAAAATTGTAAAGCATGTGGTAAACTAAATCATTTTGCTGTAAAGTGTAAATCTAAAGAAAAATATAATAATTATCAAGTGAATGAGGTACATCAAAATGATGAAAAGGAAGTAACATATTTATCATTAAACACAGTTGAGACTGAGAAATGTAAAAATTGGACTGATATAGTGGATATAAATAATATTAAGATGGTGATTAAAATAGATACTGGAGCACAATTAAATGTAATGCCATTAAATGAGTTTAAAAAATTAAATACTAAATTGGAAAAGAGTAAGGTGATAATTAAGGCGTTCGGAGGTTTTCAAATTAAGTCATTAGGTAAGATTAAAGTCTGTATTAGTAACAATAAAAATAAAATAATAACATACTTTGAGGTGGTAGAGTATGATGAGTTACCAATTCTTGGGTTAAATGATAGTATAAGACTAAGTTATAGCATGAATGAAATAAATGAAATTGTCAAAGGAGATAACGAGAAAGATATTTTTGTGCAAAAAAATATTGATATTTTTACAGGTCTTGGTAAATTTCCAGAAAAAATAAATATTAAACTAAAGAATAATGCAGTTCCTATATCTGTTCCGCCTAGAAGAGTTCCTTATAAAATCATAAATAATTTAAAAGAAGCTTTAGATAATATGGCTAAACAACAAGTAATAATAAAATGTAATAAACCGAGTGAGTGGCAGAGCCCGATAATAGTTGTCGAAAAACCTGATAAAAGTCTAAGAATTTGTTTAGACCCTAGAGAGATCAATAAAAGCATTGTAAGAGAAATGTATCAAATACCCACGTTAGAACAAATCAAATTAAAATTATCAAATAAAAATATTTTCACAGTATTAGATCTTAAAGACGGATTTTATCATTGTGAGCTTGATGAAGAATCTCAACAGTTATGTTGTTTTAGTACACCTTTTGGATGCTATAAATTTTTAAGATTACCTTTTGGACTGTCAGCAGCTCCAGAAAAATTTCAAGAAATTACTACTAAATACTTTGGTAATATAGAAAATGTAAATGTTTACTTTGACGACATACTGATAGCTGGAGAAACACTAGAGGAGCATGACAGGGCATTAAATGAAGTAATAAAAAGAGCTAAACAATTTAACATTAAGTTTAATCCTAAAAAAATACAATACAAGGTTTCTAAAGTTAAATTTTTGGGATTTATATTTAGTGCTGAAGGTGTTCAACCAGATAGTGAAAGAATAAGAGTTATTAGAGAATTGAATGAACCGTCAAATAAAAAAGAGTTGCAATCTTTTCTAGGTATGGTAAATTACTTAAGAGGCTTTATTCCTAATCTTTCAGAAATAGTGACACCATTTAGACTCCTATTAAAAAAAAATGTTTTATGGGAATGGTCAATAAATCAAAGTACAGCTTTTGTGAAAATTAAAAATATTCTATGTGAAATTCCTAGTTTAAATAATTTCAGTCTAAATGAAACATTTGAAATACAAACCGATGCTTCGGAAAAAGCAATAGGATGCTGTATATTCCAAAATAAAAAACCTGTCCATTATGCATCTAGGTGTTTAAGTGATTCTGAAATAAACTTTGCACAGGTAGAAAAGGAAATGCTTGCTATAGTGTTCGCATGTACCAAATTTCATTATTTAATATATGGGCAAAAACAAGTAAACATTTTTACAGATCATCAACCATTAGTTTCAGTTTTAAGGAAAGAGATCAATAAAATACCTAATAACAGACTGAGAAGATTGAGGGTTAAACTGTTAATATATAACATACATCTAGAATACCTGCCTGGGAAGTATATGTACGTTGCAGATTTTTTAAGTCGCAATTACATCAAAAGAGAAGAAAAAAGTGAAGAGATTATGAATGATATTGTACATACATTGGGTGAACTTGAAATTAAATTTGAAAATAATAAGGAAACTGAGTTTAGGTTAGCTACATTAAATGATGAGGTTTTAAATCAAATAATTGGCTATTTAAAAAATGGGTGGCCTAAAAAATGTACTTCAAGAGAAGAACTAAAACATTATTACAAATTAAAAAATGAAATTATGTTAGAAAATGAAATGTTATATTGGGGAATGAGATTAATAGTACCTAAGGTAATGAGAAAATATGTTATTAAAAAGCTTCATAGCACTCACCTGGGAATGACCAAAACAGTTAAAAAAGCTAATCAATTATTTTACTGGCCAGGTATGAAATCAGAAATTGAAAATTACATTGGGGCTTGTAATATATGTTTAAAATTTAGTAAATCTAAAATAAAAGAACCTATAAAAAGTCATGAAATACCTATGATACCATTTTATAAAATAGGCATGGATATTGCAGAATGTTTTGGAAAAAATTATTTAGTTGTTATAGATTATTACTCGAGGTGGCTAGAGGTAGTAAAACTTAAAAGTAAAACTAGTGGTGAAGTAATAAAAAAATTGAAAAAAATATTCAGTAGATTAGGTATACCTAAAATCATAGTTGCTGATAATAATCCATTTAATAGTTTAGAACTCAAAACATTTACAAAAGAATGGGATATCGTCATAGTAACTTGTAGTCCTAATTACCATCAAAGCAACGGACTGGCAGAAAAAGCAGTTGGTATTGTTAAAAACATGTTAAAAAAACTAAGCGAAGAAGGAGGTGATCTTAGTTTGTATCTAATGAATTATAGAAATACTCCAGTAGCAGGCTTAAATTACTCCCCAGCTCAAATACTACAAAGTAGGAATTTAAGAACACTAGTCAATAATTATAATGAAAATTGTTTAAAACCTGAAATAATTGTAATAAATAAAGAAATCACAAATAATAAAAGTAAACAAATAAATTATTACAATAGAAGTGCAGGGAAAGAAGAAAATGAGTTTAACCCAGGTGATAAAGTTGTGATTCAAAATAAATTTACAAAAGTTTGGTGGCCAGGAATAGTAATAAAAAAGACTAATTTTCCTAGATCTTATATTGTAAAAGATGCAAATAATAGATTATTAAGAAGAAATTCAATTTTCTTGAAAAAAGTGAAAGATTATGATTTGTTATGTGAGTCGGAAGAGGATGAACAGTTAGAAGTAAAAGATGATACTAGTAAAATTAATAGAGAAAATGAGGGATTAAATGTAAGTGAGGATAAAATTGTGAAATCTAATGGGAAAGTTAAGCAAACAAATAGAGAGTATACTAGACATGGGCGTAGGATTAAAAAAGTAATCAGGTATGGGATAAATGATTAAGGTTTACATAGAGACCTATTGATGTTGGTAATTTTATTTAAAAATAAGAATTTATAAGTATTTTGTTTTTGTACTATTATTATTATTACTATTATTATATTTAAGATTATACTATTTCAATATTATGTTAAAAAAAAAAAAAAAAAAAAAAAAAAAAAAAAAAAAATACATTGTATATTATAATTTTCTTTTTTTTTTGTATAAAAAGGGAGGTGTTGTATATGTTGTACACACTGCACTATTATTATTATTATTATTATAAAACTAAGGTTATGTTTTCGTTATGTGATTGTGTGAGTGTATACCATGACACATTAGTTCTTCATTAAGTTTTATTATGTTATATAAATTACATGAAGTGTAAAATAAAGTTATTGTACAAATAATGAATTGTGAATTGTTTCTTATTGTAAAATGAATGTACAAATAAATAAATAAAACAGATGTCACGATCAGTAAAAATATATTGATTTAAAATTGTTTATGTTTTTCGTTTTTGTATAATAACTAATAAGTATACATAGTCTTGAGTCCTTATAATATATGTCTACTTTGTGTTCATCAACTACTCCGTTCACCTGCAGTGTGAATACCGATGACTAAGTTAAATATATTTAATTTTTTTACCAATATGAACACATTAAGACGTTTTTTGTCATCAGCAACTTATATCTTGCTCAAAATAGATTATCCTCCACATGACTGTTATCTAGTTTTTTGAACACTTGGTCTTATCCTTAGCTGATAGGTTTGTTTGAGCTATCCTAGTATTCCTGCGCAGGTTAATTGATAGATGAATTGATACTCATTCTTTATACTTGCAGTCTCGTAAATGAACTTACAAATTTCACCTCGTTCCACAAGGAACAAGTTCCCTATGTTGTTCCTAAGCACAATACCAATATCAATGTATTGTATGGAAACCATCCGACTGACTGAATGATGCGTCTACGTAGCGAGCACCTCCCCACCTATTTTAGTGAATTTTAATATTTTTAAGTTATCATTTATCAAATTAAGTAATATTATGTTATATTTTAATTTTCTATATCCTAAATTGTCTTATTTATTATATAACATGTAAGCTTACTGCGTACTATAAACGAGGCTCTACACTTGTTATATAATTTATATAAAATAAAAATATTAGTTTATATTTTTATTTAATTTATTGAAATAGGTTAATACCCATTATACAATCCAAACACATAGACCCATGTAATATATACAGTGGTGTGTCGAAGGTATTATTTTGGAGGAATTGCTCCTTCAAAATTGTTGGTTGGTGGGTGGTCCCCCTGGCACAAAATACCTAGCCACCTAGGTGACTAGGGATATCGTAGAAATATAATATCCGATTATACAAATCGTTACAAATGTACGCATATTTTGTAAATTTTTAATTTAAACTTTTTTACTGTGTTGGAAAAACCGTTATAAACATCAAATGAGCATAACACGCCACTGAATATATACAATATGTAAGCCGTAAGCGTGATAAAAGGGGAAGAATAAAAGTAAATGGGTGTAACATGATTAAGAATCCTCCCTTAAGTGACGCTATTATCTTGGGATCTACTAACTTAATTGAAAATTAAATCGAAAGATCATGGCAACGCATTCTTTTGGGTCTACGACGAAAAGTATTGCCAAGAAGTAAACGGTCATTTAAGTTACTTTTGATTGAAATGGGGTAGATTTATAGTTTAGAAAAAAAACCATTTAGAAAATATTGTGCAGCTTATTCCTCAATTTACTTAATGCCTTAATGGTGTAAGTTGCTTTTGCAAAGAGCCAAGTTAGAGATAAACGTGGAGGCGTTTGTGATATTTTTATTGTGATATTTTGAAATACTTGAATTTCTTGTATTGAGTTGACAGTGATCTTATTATTCTGATCTTAAGATATTTATGTCATAAATCTATAAATGACAGCTAACTAAATTTGTGTAGTACAGTTTGAGGTTTTATTTATAAATGTTTATATTATACGCTTATAAACAATGTAGGTTGACTATAATACAATTTTCAACAATTTTTCCCCAGAATCTATAGAAACCTATATAAATCTATAACATCGCACTCGAAGAGCTGATTTATCCAAATTCGTTAGCCAATAACCTAGTAAGTATCTAGTGTAAGTAAGTGGTGTACAATTTTTTATATTTTATTTCGTTAATCGTTTCGATATTGAAAAAACAACAACCCATCGATTGATATTTGATATTTATTATCCGTCCGGAGGCGACAGTCGTTTCGCATAAAACGTGAAAACATTAAGCTGCTCGCCTACAACAAGAGCGATTATATTATAATCACTAAGCGCCAAACTCAAAAAGCCTCGGTGGATGCTATCGCAGAGGCGATTTTGTAGTTTTCATTATTATAACTATTATTATTTCTTTTTGGCGTCGTTAAAACTTTATCGATTTTCGGATTGCAGGACCGGCCGTTTCACATTGTTCGAATTGCCCCGAAGTGAGACTGCAGGCGTACTGGCGGCGGATATGATGGTGACGACGATAATGATTATAACAATAATAACGATAACAGTAATATAAACTCGGACGACCGAAAGTTTCTCTTGTGTGTTAATAACAGTCTGCAAAACATTTCCAAAGCATCATCATAATGTTAATATCAAACGCCGTCGATATAGCCTTTCTCGTTCGACGTTGTTGCAATGCAGTCGCTTTAGGTATTATAGTATAGTACGTATTCGATAAACCTGCACCGGTAATACTATTTGCAAGTACTAACTATAAACTGCAAAGTGCCTACCCGCACCTACCCAATCGTACACCGACTGCGATATAAAATAACATATAATACAGTGGAACGATCGTCGTCGATTGCCGCGAAAATGTACGGCGTGCATTGGGAGTTAAGTATTTCGACCGACTGAACCGTGTACATAATAATATAATAATAATAATAATAATAATATTTTAACATTATTATATATTGGTAGGTACACAGTACTCAGTATTTTTTATGCCGCAGAAAAGTCGTCTTATATTCTCGCCGACTTCCCAAGGTCGGCGTTATCGTTCCACGCGTATAGCAGCAGCAGCAGACCTTGTAATTATTGCGATTTATATATTATTAAATTTTTTTTTTCTTTTCCCCGTTTGACTCGCGGATTTATTGCGATCCGACTGCATTTGACGGAACATTTAACATGCGTGAATACACCACTTTGGCCATATTTCACTGGTTAAAACGTTTGTATAAACAATACGCAGCGATTTCATACTACGTTAGTTTCTCGAACGTTTTAGAGACGTTTATTATTTAAATGGCTTTGTGAATGCGTTTGTAGTAGTATAGGTAGGTACAACATGTAAAGCGCGTACACAGTAAATAATATATTATCGTGTATATATTATGGAAAAACGAAATAGGCTCGCATGTGTTAATTTCACAAAGTCTGCACCTCTCGCGAGGTGTTCGCTTATTAAAATATTTACAAATACGGAATGTAAATTGTTATTTATCGTGACTCTTAGATTCTGAGCGGAGAGGTGAACGTATTTTTTCATCGGAAATAATGATGGGGCTTAATTTTAATAAACTCAATATGTTTTCACCATCGATTTCATTTATGACTAAATTACTTCTGCAGTTAGTTAAGGAAAGTAAACATTAATATCACGTCAAGTAATATGTTAATATTCTATAGTTAAGTAGTTAACATATTATTATTATATTTAACTCCGATACGTTAAAGTTAATATTATGTCAAGAAAAATATTAACTTACCTCATTATTAAATTACATTTTTTAAATGTAAAAGTTGACAATTTTATTAAAAATGTACTTTATTATTTCTTCTTGGCTCCTTAATGCTATAAGGTGTATGAAAATTAAGTATTGTTTAAATTATTAAGTTCAGAAATATTTATTGATTTATTATTTGTTAAAAATTGATGTTTACGATGTGCTGAAACATTAAGTAAATAAATATTATAATTATTTTTATTTGAACCACAGTTATCTATAAGTTATAACCCATGTTTAGGTAAACATGATTTTAACATATTATTTTTCATAATAACTGGAAAAAGCTATGTTATTACAATGGACATAAGTAAACTAGTTAAGATAGGTACTTATTAAGTTAATTAAAAAAATAACTAACTAGGTACCTACCTAGTTAAATGTAAACATTATCCAATTTTTTAACGTACCGTATGTCAGTACATATAGTATGGCGTATTATACGATAAAAATATAAATTATGGTCTGAGTCATATCCTGCGGAATCCAGAACGTTATAATTACGCATAGATAAACATTTACAATGTCCATACGATTATTACCCTACGATAGGTTATGGTATAAGGTATTATATTATATATATATATATATATATATATATATATACATATCATATAATATAAACGGATATTTTTTTATTAAATATTTATTTACGACTATCCGGGCGTGCGATCTTTTGATTTATTAAGTGGTTGATATTTCTTTTCTTATCGGAATTACACGATAATTAATGTGCGTACTTATAGGTGTCTCTATACCATCATAAAACGAGTGTATCACGTGCACATTTTATCACTATATTATTAAATAATATAACGTTGTTCGTCTCGCCGGACGAGTGAAAAAAACCAAAATCGTATTTTATATTTCGAACAGTGGTCGTAAAACGGAAAAGAACGTCGAGTTGCGTTGGTGTGGCGGCGGTGGTCGAAGACAAACCGCATACATATTATAGTGACTCATTTAGTTTTTGAACTCGAAAACACCGTATAATAGAGCTATAGGTGTATACATAATATAATAATATTGTAACTCGTAATAATAATGACGAAAATAATAATAATAATATCATATTGTAAGGGGCCCATTATGTTAGCGCTACATCGTTTCACCACCAGTCAACTACTGTCGTACAGCTTTTGATCGTCGTTTGTCGTATATATACTGCACTGCGGTGTTCCAATTATTCCGATTGTATACGAGATGATAGTCGCGAATGAT